CAAAATGTAAATCATTTAGTTAATCCTAACTGACCTAAAATAGTAAACGTTTAGTATGACTTGCCATCAGACATTAAAAAAATGGTTATGTTCCTTTTTTTAGAGTGGATGTAAACTTCTGGTTTCAACTGTATTATATATAAACATACCTCCAGGGACATATTTCGTGTTCTTCAGAAATGTATACAGGGGTACGTTGCCTTGGTTAAATTATTAACAGAACTTTCATTTTTGGGTGAACTAACCCTTAAAGAACGCATTGGTGTATAATTACAAAAGTCAATGTGTTTTAGGCTTTAGCTGTACAAATAATTCAGGACTACACCACCTTGTGGTCAACAAAACCCCATCAATTTGGTAACAATTATTGTGTGTCACCACCCATTGATCAAAAGAAAACAACAAATAAACAACACAACTGATGATTGTATTCTTGATTATATCTGTTGATTCATTTGGTATATTGCAGCTATGGTTTTACTATCTTTGTTGATATACAATAGCTAATTAATTCACAAACTAAATGTAATATATAATAACTTACAATGTGAATTTATAGACAATACAAACAAATTGATTTAGTCAAAGCTTTATTATAAACAGCGGATATACCCTCAGCTTGGATATAATGAAAAAGAAGCAGCAAAAAACATGTCCACTAAGCAGCAGAGACATTTAATAGCAGTATCTTATTTACAGGCAAATACATGTGCACAGGCATTGGAATTCGATGGGGCGACCGCAAAAAAAAAAAAGCTGCATGGAAAACAAGAGCACAAAAGAGGAACTTCCTGTGTCATGGACGAGACCCAAGGTGACAAGAGCAGACACGCCACAGCAAAATCATGCATGATTAGACAAAGAGATCAAACGGCCTCATCACGGCCACTGCACCAGGCTTTCCGGATACAAGGGGAGTCAAAGGCTGGAAAAATGTGCAGTGCCATCAGCTGCGCCGTTGAAAATAAAAAAAAAGCAGAAAGCTCCGACTGACTCAGTTGCAATGCAGATAATGTCAAAGATTTTTGCTCTGCACGCATACTAAACACGAGGCCTTTTATGCGTGATGATTATTGGGATCGAAAACATTTTGGGCAATTAGGGCTGCACAATACTGCGAAAATACATGATATTGTTATCGAGTGTTGCGATAACGATATTTCGTACAAACTTGCAAAACGCCATTTTTAATCGCTATTAAATAAAATCATTTATTTATGAAATTATCATATAATTCATAAAATAAACAGATAATAGATATTTTGCAATATTATAAATGTGTAATACTGTTCAGGGATAAAACCAAAGGATAATGAATGAATAAATGTACTATTGTTGAGTGTTACGATAATGATATTTTGTACAAACGATAATTCGCAATTGAAAAATCTTTTACGTAATGATCATACTAAAACAAACAGGTAATAGATATTTCGCAATATTATTAAAAATATGCAATATTGACGAGTGTTGCGATAACGATATTTCGTACGATAATGCAATTTAATTGAAATTATTAAAAAAGCATTTCTTTATGTAATGATCATAGTAAAATAAACAGGCAATAGATATTTCGCAATGTTATACATATGTAATACTGTTCAGGGACTAAACCGAAGGACAATGAATGAATGAATGTAATATTGTTGAGTGTTGCGATATTTCGTACAAACAATACTTCGAAATTAAAAAAAAACATTTTACGTAATGATCATACTAAAACAAACAAGTAATAGACATTTTGCAATAATACTAGAAATGTGTTACGATAATGATATTTCCTATGAATTTTCAAAATGCTATTTAATCGCAATTATTAAAAGAAACATTTATGTAATGATCATACTTAAAAAAAAATTAGACATTTTGCAAATTCATAAATACGTAATATTTTTTATTTTTGTAATGATCATACTAAAATAAACAGGTAATAGACATTGTGAAATGTTATAAATATGCAATACTGTTCAGAGACTAAACCAAAGGACAATGAATGAATGAATGTAATTTCGTTGAGCGTTGTGTTAATAATATTTCGTACGAACTTTCAACACTATTTTATTGCAATTATTAAAAGAAAAATTTTTGGAAGGATCACACTAAAATTAACAGCTAATACATATTTAGCAATGTAAATATGCAATATTGATGAGTGTTGTGATAACGATATTTTCGTATGAACTTTCGAAATGCTATTTTAATGCAATTATTTAAAGAAACAATTATTTATGTAACGATCATGCTAAAATAAACAGGTAATAGATATTTTGCAGTGTTATAAATATATAATATTGTTCAGGGACTAAGACGAAAGACAATGAATGAATGCAACATTGTTGAGTGTTGCGATAATATTTCGTACAAACGATATTTCGCAATTTAAAAAAATCTTTTATGTAACGATTATACTAAAACAAACAGGTTAAAGATATTTTAAAATAATATTATAAATATGCAATATTGTTGTTGAGTGTTGCGATAACAATATTTCGTACAAACTTTCAAAACGCTATTTTAATCGCAATTATTTAAATTATTATTAAAAAATAATAAAAAATAATAATCTATAGAAATTAAGAGGTGCTAAAGGCAGTAAAGACCCTATCTGATTGGTCAGATTTAGAAAAACAACCTACGCATTAGCACATAAAATGAATTTAATTTATTGCACCTCTTTGCAATATGAATATAGCAAACACTATTATCGTGATACTCAAAATTTTTCAAAACAGACTGTAAAAAACGCTGGGTTCCACATAATTCCTTCCTGTTGTCCCAACACAATTTGATTAACTTGATCGTTATTTTAAAAATTTAAGCGAATTAAACTTGATGGTTTAACTTATATTAAATAAGTAGTTGAAACAAGCAGCAAAAGCCATGTTTTGATAAATCGTGCAGCCCTAATTCAAATATTACCTGATGCTAATTTTGGCCTGTTAAAAAAAAGATCTACAAGGCCAATAAAACACGTCTAAACCACAGCAAAGGTGTCAAATTAAAAACAGCAACTTAAAATTTCATGTCATGTAGGGAGGCGGAGAGACAGAAGAAGAGAATAAGCGACTGTTTTAGATTCAATTCATCTCACTCAGCCATTCACAAAGAGAAAAGCCCTTCATGAATGGAGACCAGCGGTGACTGGCTAACTTCTTGTCAAACGTCACCCATTGAGAGGAGCGGAAAAAAAAAAAAAACAACCAGACTGAAATAAAGCAAGATTTCCCTCTGCTGGTCAACAGGGAGAACAGTCCATGCCTCTAGTATAGACGGATCTCATTCAGAATGCTGTTTTAATACACTACAGACCTGAAAATAGCAAGAGCACTCAATATCAAACCACTAATGATTTCAGAACAGGTATAGAGCTGTTAGTATCCACTACCTTACATCGAGGAACGTATATGTATAAAAAAAGAGCTCAGAAACCCACAGTATTTTCCAAAGCAGACGGTGGAAAAGAAAAGTTCTTCCTCCATCGCTCTGGAATTCCGCGGTCTTCCTTTTAGATGAGTAGATTACAGATGGAAGGTTTTTTTTTCTTGTTCTTTCTGAAATATATATTTCCCCGCAGGGTCAATGGCTCAACACGGCCCCATAAACGTGTTTTCATTTCCAGCCAGTGACTAAAGCAGAAAAAAACATCATTATAATTAGTTATTATTTATTGGTTATTATTTATTCTATTATTAGACTGGTTTTATCAAGTCTGATTATAAACAATACAATTAATAAATGTTTAAAATTTGAGGCTGGCTATATTCACACACTGCAGCCACACAACCGTGTTTAAACCCCTTATAACTGTTATTTTTGGATAATAGGAGCCCTTTAAGAGACGCTAAAAAGGTCATTATATTTGAGGAAAAAATAAAAAAATGTAAAAAATATAGACAATAAAAAGAACTTCTTAATTCCATAAAAATATGAACCTTTAATAGATGAAGAGGACTCTGGTCCGGGGAAGAGTAGAAAAGGAGTCTGCCATTTTGCGAATCTTGGCGTAGTTAATAAACCCTCTGAGGAAGAGCAGGAAACCTGTAGATCACCAAAACACACATCAGTGCTTGCAAATCGTGCTGTCTGAAATATAGGCAAAGCAATGCCTCTAGATTACGTTTATTTTACCAAAATAAAACAAGATCATGCCTTGATTTTGAATGATTTCATTGGGACAGTAAGGTCTGACTCTGCTTAGACTAAAGACTTGTCACTGAACAGAAATCAGAAATAATGTCCAGTATAGAATAGATGAATATATATATATATATATATATATATATATATATATATATATATATATATATATATATATATATATATATATATATATATATATATATATATATATACACAGTTGAAGTCAGAATTATTAGCCCCCCCCCCATTTAATTTTTTTTTCTTTTTTAAATATTTTCCAAATGATGTTTAGAGCAAGGAAATTTTCACAGTATGTCTGATAATATTTTTTCTTCTGGAGAAAGTCTTATTTGTTTTATTTCGGCTAGAATAAAAGCAGTTATTAATTTTTCATAAACCCTTTTAGGGACAAAATTATTAGCCCCTTTAAGCTATAGTTTTTCTTCATAGACTACAGAACAACCCATTGTTATAAAATAACTTGCCTAATTACCCTAACCTGCCTAGTTAACCTAAATAACCTAGATAAGCCTTTAAATGTCACGTTAAGCTGTATAGAAGTGTCTTAAAAAATATCTAGTCAAATATTATTTACTGTCATCATGGCAAAGATAAAATAAATCTGTTATTAGAGATGAGTTATTAAAACTATTATGTTTAAAAATGTGTTGAAAAAAATCTGCTCTCTGTTAAACAGAAATTGGGGAAAGAATAAACAAGCGGTCTAATAAATCAAGGGGGCTAATAATTCTGACTTCAACTGTATATATATATATATATATATATATATATATATATATATATATATATATATATATATATATATATATATATATATATTCATGTAAAATACAACCAAATTGTTTTGTTTGTGTACTTACCAAGCACCAGAAACACCCACCACAACCAGTACTGTCCATCAAAGTAACCAGGAAAATAAGTAGAAAACTGAGGATGGAAACACAGAGCAACTGTGAGCAGATAAAACAGCAGTCATGTCCAGGCTTGTTTCATCATGTACAGAGCACATTACAGTACATCAGTCAGAGCTCAGCTAATGCACTAATGCAGAGTAATGTGCTTCTGTCATGTTCTCAGCCAAGCCAAGATGGTTAACCAACAGATATGCGAATATAACACAATGTGTACAATTAGCTGCCGTTGTTTAGGTAATTACAGCAGGCTCACATTGAATTGGTACCCACAGAAATCTATTTACTTATCAGTGCCTCTAGATTTTACTATGCTTTTGTGCATTTTCACAGTCAAACATGAGAATAGAAGCAAATAATGCCATAGGTTTTGATGCTGAACCCTGGAGGGACTGATTATCATCTTAAATTTTGCACAATATATCGCGCCTCAAAATTAACCACCCTGATTTTCAAATATTGCCTGATAAGTCAATATATGGACTATCACGATAGGTATACTCTCAAAGTCTTTCTGCATGAATCCACTTTTTTTTTTTTTTTTGTTACTGCACAGAAGCAGCACCGAAACAAAATAAACGAAAATTTGGCTTGGCCCTGGTGTTAACTTACCCGCACAATGAGGATCCATTTGATGAGTGAAAGACCGAAGCCGGAAATGGCGCCATAGCGTCCGGCCGCTGAGGTTGTAAGGCAGAACGACAGGAAGAAGCCAATCCAGTTGAAGAGGAATGCCACTAAAGAAAATCGAGATGTAAAAACTGCATCAGATTTTCTGAATATAACACCAGTTTTGCACACTTTCTTAAAGTCACTCCACATCTCTAGAAAAACGCTTTCCTTCATTTATCCCCATCATGTCATTGAAAATGGTAGAACCCTGATCACTGGGGAAATGAAAGCTTTAAAATGGCCGCTTTTCCTGCACACAAGTTTGGCTGTTTGGATGTGACCCATAACGTAAGTATGGCAGTATTATTAGTTTTTAAGTTTGAATCATGAAAAATAAACTGTTATGTTTGCAACGAAGTCAGCTGTTGTTTATTTTTATGTGAATTAAAATAATGAAATGTTAAACTAACTAGGTTGAACCTAGGATGCAGGAGGAACAATGCGGTTTTTTGTCTGGGCCGTGGTACACTGGACCAGCTCTACACCCTCACCAGGGTGCTCGAGGGTTCATAGGAGTATGCCCAACCAGTCCACATGTGTCTTGTGGACTTGGAGAGGCCTTTCAACTGTGTCCCTTGTGGCATTTTGTTCACGGTGCTCGGGGAGTATGGGGTAAGAGGCGCTCTGCTAAGGGCTGTCTCGTCCCAGTATGAACAGAGTAGGAGTTTGGTTCACATTGCCGGCAATAAGTCAGACTTGTTTCCAGTGCATGCTGGACTCTGGCAGGGCTGCCCCTTGTCACTTATTCTGTTCATAATTTTTATGGACAGAATTTCAAGGCTTCAGCATGCACTGGGGCGGTTTGCTGCCGAGTGTGAGACATTTTGTGAGAGGTGCATGTCAGCGACGCCGACGGCTACGGCGTAGAGCTATGCTTCAACGCGTAGGCTGCGCCATAGCATACGCGTGCGCTTGAAGCAGAAGTATAAATCAGTCTTATAACTCATCTTGCAAGCTAACATTGAGTAGCATTTTCTAAATATTACTCAGAATTTGTTTATTCTACAAGTCTTTCCTGTACCAGCATCACATTCCCAAAACAATCCCCTCAACAAGACCCTCATGGCCAGCATTTTCTCTGTTTCTTTATGTGGTTGTTAATGTTCATGCATTAACTTAAGTTTGGGAAGTCCCACTTGATGGGAAGAGACAAAAGATCAAAGAGACTGCAGTGTGAGAAGCGTTTGTGAGTCCTCTGTTCTCCCTGAAAAAACACTTACTGAAAAATGTCAACATGAAAATGCCGTCGTTGCCTATTCGCAGCTGGTCAGCGTCCTCAAAGTCATCTCTGGCCACAAAATCATCATCCTGAAGGAAAACAGACAGAGACGGAGATCAACGCAGGGCCAAAACACAGCACTCAAACTTATAAAGGGGTCATGAAATGGAGAAACAAAATCTTCTTTATTTTTTACACACACAGGTCGTTCCTCTTTCTTACTTTACTCTGTCTTTCAATCAAAAAAAACAATGCTGGTGAAAAAAAAAAAAAAAGTCAAAACCGAAAAACTCACTAGCTATGTTTCTGCTAGAAACATGCTAACAACATACTAATTCATGCTAGAAGCATGCTATTTACATGCTACAATCATGTTGACAACATGATAATTCATGTTAATTCAAGCAAGAATAACAGCATACTAATTCCTGTTAGAAACATGCTAATTCAAGCTAGAAACAGGCTAACAACTAACTAATTCATGCTAGAAACAAGCTAACAACATACTAATTCCTGTTAATAAAATGATAATATGCTAGTTCATGCTAGAAACACGCTAATAACATACTTATTCATGCTAGAATCATGCTATTCGTGTTACAACATTATAATTCATCCTAATCCATGCTAGAATCATGCTAATTTATGCTAGAAAAATGCTAACAACATGCTAATTATATTGGAATAGTGCTAACAACGTGATAATCAATATAAGAAACATGATAATAACATGTTAATTCATTTTAGAATAATGCTAGTTACATTCTAATTTATGCTAGAATCATGCTAACTCATGCTAGAAACAGGCTAACAACATGGTAACTAATGTTGGAATAGTGTTAACAACATGGTAATCAATATTAGAAACATGCTAATAACATGCCAATTCATTTTAGAATAATGCTAGTTACATTCTAATTAATGCTAGAATCATGTTATTTACATGGTAATTCATGCTAGAAACATGCTTAGAACATGCTAACTAATGTTCTAATCATGCTAACAACATGATATTTAATATTAGAAGCATACTAATAACATGCCAATTAATTTAAGAATAATGTTAGTTACATGCTATTTTAAGTAAGAAACATGTTAACATGCTAATTCATGCTAGAAACATGCTAATTCATATGGCCAGGTTGGGTTAGTAGAAAAGACTTTACCTGCTCCATTAAAAAATAATCAAAAATTAACTAGTTATCTCTTGGCCCCACACATTAAATGTGTCAAGACAAGCAAACTTAAGTTGTGAACAATACACTTTTTTTAACATAACTTTTTGTTATTACTATGTTGATAGAGTTAAAAAAAAATACATTTGTTAAAGGTTTTATTGAGAAGGATTGTTGGTGATTGGATGGTTGTTGGCCAGATTTGAGTAGCTTTACATGGACATGGGAAAATAAAGACCAATTTAAAATGATTTTACACCTAAAGCACAATATTTTAATGAATTTAAGACATGTTGGGACTCCAAGGCATTAATTATATCAAGAGTTCATTCCCAAATGCATTAAGAAGTTTACATGACTGTTTATTAGGTATACAGCAAATACTTTAGTTAATGCAATTAAAAGTTACTACTTTCTTAGATTAATTAGGAAATTCAATAAATGAAAGTAAAGCTTATAGAAGTTTCAAGTTTCAATTGCCAAAAATATATTAAGATTGCATTATGAGGATGTAAATGTAATCATTGTTTGAGCTTAGCGAATATAATAAGTATACAACCAAACCAGACATTAAATATTATATTTAAATAATAAATGAGGCATGTTTTATAGTACTACAGTAATAATTTCATATCAAAGCAACTGAAACAAACTGTTGAATTGCCAAGTAAATGTGAAAATACTACACCACTGCAAACTTTAAGAACCATAATATAAATATCTGAAACTGCATTTTATGACCTCTTTAAAAAAGAAAAGGAGATTTAAAACAACAGTGGAGGACTGTGACGGGATGCATCGGGGCTCGTAATTCACAGAAACAGACGCATAAAAACGGACACTAAAGCAACACTTTAAGAGCAGACATGTAACTGAATGCCTGTTTCACACATACACGGTTTATGTGGTGAAAATTTTAACAGGTGAGAGCTTTCAAACTCCACACGAATGTGCAGTAAAGCACATTTCTGACTTTTTATCTTTTTTTTGTGGCTGTGCTGCATGTTTGAATAGCGTATTATTTATATCTAGAGTGGTCACAATACTGGAATTTCCAACTTTGATAGGATACCACCAAAGTTATCGATATTCGATACAATTTTTGATACTGCAAGTTTTGTTATTTACAATAACATTAAAATCAACAATTTAATAAGTTTAACAATAATAATAATAATAATAAAAAATATATAAAATATAAAATATATTTTATAAAAAATATATTTCAATTTTAGTTTTTGAATTTTACAACAAAAGATTAAACATTGGGTTTTAAAGCATTTGAAAGCTGCGTTAATCAGTCGATTCATCAGCAGATCACTCATATATTAGCTCATAGAAAGACCAGCTGATCTGCACTGCTTGGAAACGCTCCAGTCTCCCTGTATCTGCACTTAAATGTTAGCGAAAAATTTGCCTTTTTTCCCCCAAAGTCTATTTATAGTCTTTTGACAACCCTAGTAAAAACATAGTACATGTTTTTTGTTTATCTTCTGTAATTAAGCATTGTATCAAAGACTATAGAATACACAAGACGTGTCACAGGTACAGTTTTGAATGCGGAAAAGTGTTATAATCAATATGGCGGATAAAGCCCCGCCTACAAGTATAGGAGCCAATCAGCAATCACTATAGGCTGATGATTCTCCAGGGGTGGGGCTCCGATCAGACGTGTGTTTCTACAGATTTTCTGTGATTTAAATATTTAGAAATGAAACTAAAGAGACAGTTGTTGTTTAGTTTTATTGGTGATTCCTAATATGTAATGTAGCCATAATCTAGGCAAGCTATTTTGAAGAATTCAATGTTTCCCCATTCAACCAGAATGCCCGAGAGGCATTTCAAAGATGGCCACCGAGTGAAATGACTTGCCTTAAAGCAGGGCTTCTCAAACTTTTCAGCCCGCGACCACAAAAATTACAATGCCTGTGACTCGTGACCCCCAATATCCTCCGCGGTGGTTATAAATATATAAACCTTAAACATCAGCGCACATGTGCCAATGGGTCTAAGTCTATTCATCATTTAATTTTGAAGAACGCCACTCGGAGACCATCCTCCATGTTCAGTTGTGGCCTGTAATTATGTTTAATGTACAAGAGTGCTGTAAAGATGACAGAAAGTTTAACCTGGTGCCTTTAAATCAATGTGCTGTGTCTTTAATATTACATAATCACCCTAGGGGTCGCAAAAAAAAAAAAAAAAAAAAAGGCTGAAGGCTTTTAATTGCATGTTTTTTTTTTTATTAAACTAGTAACTATTATTTATTTATTCTGTAGGTTATAGATAAAATATGGTAATTCTAGAAGCTTAATAAAATTGATTATTTTTTTGGAAATCCCCAAGCGACCCCCTATCATTGTCTCGTGACCCCCACTTTGAGAACCACTGCCTTAAATAGACTTTGACTAAACACTGAGACTCAAAGCAGAAAAGCAGGGTGAAGGTCACACTCTGTTACAATACCTCCAGTGCACAGCGAGTTACGTCATCAAGCGTGTCCAGACGTTCCCTGTGCTGAACGCAAGCAGTGTGTGGCAGAGAAACACAGCAGTGAACAGGAGGAAACGCAGCACATTTAGGGGTCGTTCACGTATCGGGTCTTTTGCATTTCGTTAACATACGCTTATTATAGTGCAAATAAAGAATTTTTCAGAATTCTGTAAGCGCACCGTGAGTCATTTGATTAGAACTAACCAATCAGCTTCCTACATTGTATTGAACGTACACAATTTAGTAATAACTTTAGACTAATTACCTCAGATAACAAAACACTGCAGCGCTTTTTCATTATCTCCATAAATAAAACTTGTATCAAAGCTGTGAGTGCAGGTACAGATGTGCATTGAAATTGCTTTAAAAAGTGGCATTCCTCATGCTTTCCATTCGCTTTTAGACATGATATGTGAACGATCCCTTTTACAGTATATCCTGGCCATGTCCACGATATCAGTTTCGGAGCTGGTTCAGTTTAGAGAGTGGAATGTGTAGTACTTACGCGGCCTGACACCAGTGGGACAGAAGTCTCTGTTTTGGTTCTCTCAGCCTCGTCATATGATGGAAGAGAGGTGGCTACGTTATAGGACGGAGGGTTGGGAAATGCTGCATCATCTTTGTAGTCAAAAAATGCTGAGAAGAGGTCAAAATATATATGATTGGTGATTATTCACAGGTGGCATTGCATAACATGAAGAGTTGATTCAAGTTTATGTTACTGCAAGTGATGGCAATTTTAATACTGTCACCATTTCCTCACTCTCCACTTCTTCCAAACCTGTTCGAGTTTCTTTCTCCTGTTGAACACAAAGGATGATATACTACAGAATGCTGGGAAAAAATATTCTGTGGTTTCTACTATTGGTGTCAAAGGCTGCTTTTTCTCAACATTCTTCAGAATATCTGGTTTTGTTCAACCGAAGGAGGAAATTCAAAGTTTAGAACCACTTGTGTGTGAGTTTTAATTTTCAGGTGAACTGTTCCTGAATTAATAAGGTCACTACGATATATGCAAAGCAGAAAAAATGAAGAGAATCTGTCATATTTTTGTAATTTTACCAGAATTGCTAATAATTAACTATATTATGACATAAGAATCAAATTGTACTGTGTAGAACCACCGCCATATAATCATATATAATTTTTTTTAAAGACTCTTAAAGATACAATTAGGAAATATCTACACAATATCAGAAAATCCTGAGTTTAATGTGATTCCCTTGGCACCAAAGAGGCTCTAATTGTTAGTTTCAATTCTGCTCTTTGAAATATAGTGCACTATAATATCAGGGCTCTTTCAGCACCTCTAAGAGCTTTTCTTCAGATTCCTTCCTTCCTTCTCTGTCCAGGTCATCCTGAACTGTCTCTATAATATTCAAGTCAGGATTATGTGGAGGCCATTTCATGACTCTCTGTGTTTTATTAGTTTTTTCTCCAAAAAAGGTTTCACTGCATTAGCAGTCTGTTGAGGTTTAATATAACGCTGAAAAATAAAACCATTAAAAATAAGAGACTTTCTAGAAGGAATGATTGATTAAAACCTAAAATTCGCAATCCCTTCAATTTAGACAATAGTGCCAAGAGAACTTGCAGAAATGTCCCCATGTTTCCCAAAAAATGTTCATCACATGTAGTAAAAAATGAGACCTTCCCAGAGTTCTTTTTTAGATTTATGCTGTTCTTTTTTTCTTTCTGTCCAGGTCATCCTGTACTGTCTCTATAATATTCAGGTCAGGACTCTGTGGAGGTCATTTCATGACTCTCTGTGTTTTATTTACTTTTTTTCTCCAAATATGGTTTCACTGCATTTGATGTGTTTAGGTTCATTAGGTTTCATGCTGAAAAATAAAACCATTTACAATAAAGGTCATTTCTAAAAAGAATGCCATAATTGATTAAAACCTACAAGTGAACATTCCCACCAATTCAGACAATAGTGCCACAAGAACTGGCAGAAATGCAGCTCAAACCAGCACAGAAACCTCAACATGTTTGACTAAAAACCTCGGTCTAACACAAGTAGTAAAAACAGTGACCAAAGTACTGTAATTTCCGGTTGTATTACATTTAAGAGGCAAATAAATATTTACGTACGGTCATTATACCATCACTAAAACAACAAATATAATTGTTGTCTAAATGTTTTGAATTTGAATGTTTCTGAATTACAGTTTTCAGACTTTTAAGATTGTTTGGAAAATAAAAACAGTATGAAAACCAACCAATCTAGGAAATAGTAAAACGGATGTCAAAAGGCCCTGAACCTGCTGCATACCTGCACTGTCAGCTGCAATACTGCTGTAAGGGGGCGGAGCATCAGCGGCCACCTGAGGTCCCGCCTCTGGCTCCTCCTCACAGGGAAGCTGTGGATACAGAGAACGATCATTGGCTGAATGAAATTTACTTTAAATTGTAATTTTACATCACAAATTTGACTAGTTTTTTTCCAACCAAACTTGTGATTTAACTTGTGCACAAAACTGAAATACTGCATAAAACATTTGCGAATAACAAAGAGAGCAAAAGAGTACCAAATCGTCACTTCCTGATAAACTGCCGGCAAATATAAAAAATAAAAATGTAGTTTTGTACGGAAAGAGAAGCAAGTGTGGTGTTTTTTTCTCTTCTGTTATAAATGAGTTGTGCCTCAGAAGACAAAACGCAATGAGTGCAGTGGCTTTTGGAGGCGTGAGACGCTCTTTGGGAGTGCAGAGAGATGCTCAAGATGGTTCTGGAGGGAATAATAATAGAAAAATAAAAATACTGAACCACTGTGATGACAGACTTTGGCTGAGGGGTTTAAGAAATGAGCGAAACAACATTTCAGATGTTTTGCAATGTGCTGTTTTGTCTATTGATGCGTCCCATCACAGACATGATCTGTTCAAACAAAATTACATAACTTATTTGATACGCATACTAGAAATTATTTAATGCGTGTAAATATGTTTCCACAGAAGTTTATGCACATTTTTTCCTATCAAATAATTTATCCCACTCCATTGGTGTCTTCATTAAGCACATATACTCCAAAATGCACACAATAAGTGGACGGAAACATACATTACTACCCTGTGAACACAACTCTGGAGTAGGCAGGAGGATTTATGAGACCTTGTGGAACAAACCAAGGAGAATATTATTATTATTATCAGATTATTATTGATTTTGAAATCATAATAATACTTGATAATACTTTTAATACTAATAATACTAATAATACTCTCTGAAACTGTGAAAGATCATGATAAATGTAATGCTAAGCTTCAACTCACATGACCGACACATGACATGACACACTCAACACAAGACTTCCTCTTTACTATTTTATTGATCAGCTAAAAAAAATGCTTGACACATCATGACGACCACAAACACATCATAAAAACACCCAAACAATACAACACGTGATGCATTTCTATTTCAGTAAGTAATTAATATAATGAAACAGAATGAAAATAAATTATGACCTTGATTTATTGTTATATAATTAATTGTTTTAAGTTCAATCCACTTAAATTTGTCAAAATATTTACGTTAATTTAATCGATTTGTATTAGAACAACATGAAAAAACTGGAACGAACCCGGATTATTTGGACAGTGCACTTTCAGATGCATACAAGCTTTTTTCCACAGTGAAATCATAAGATAGTGATTTAAAGCAACAAAGTATAACCATTAAATAAATTGTTAGAAAATGTATTTAGAAATAAAGGCTTAATTTATTACAACTACACATATTTATCTTAAGGAAACTGGATCATTCAAATATGTGAAGAGCATTTAGTTGTGCTTTGGCATGGGAAGATAACCAGTTTCAAGGTTTAGATCGGTCTGGAAAATCAAGATTTTAAAACCGCATTAGTTTTCTGTAGTACCGTTCCTAAGGTATATGTACGTTTTTTGCATATGTTTTCAAAACAATTTTATTTAGTTTTTAGGGCAACAGTATCTCTAGAAGAAAAGCACCCTAGATATCAAAAGCTACAGGTCCAAAATATTTTAAATGTTTCTTCAAATAAAATATATTGTGTTCAATGGGAGGGAGGAAGAGTTGTATTTTACCCAGACATTAAAAAATTGCTTATTTTGGAGCAGTAAATCACAATACCGTAATACATGAAACATGATATTAGTATCCAAGGTTGTCAATATTAGAGGTAAAGTTGTTTTTTATATTCGTACATTCTGACTTTCCCTTATCCCTTATATGCATTATTTAATACATACTTTATCATAACAATTAAAAATATTATCAACAACAAAACATACAGCATAATACTGAAGATCTAGAAGAAAAGGCGGATTTTAGATAATTCTTTTTAATATAGAGGCAAAGTTGGTTTTATATTCGAACATTATTTCATTTAGAAGTCTCTATATTATTTACCATGTTACTTTGAATATTCGATGGGAATTAGCATGCAAGTATGACTTGTAAACATTAACACTATCTAATAGACTGTAAAAAATGTTGTACTTTGAAAATCATAAGTTGCTAAAATGATTGCCGCATTTAGAAATTGCAAAGAATACTTTTCTGAAATAAAGTCTGAATATAAAAATATAAAACTAACTTTACTTCTATGCTTTTAATTATTTTCTTACTACAAACAGCAAGATTTTTTTACAAATGTTCTAACATAAGCAACATTAACAGGTAATACAGGTAATATTTATGATAATATTTATGATAAACACATAATTTTTAGAAGTTTATATTTTGTCTACTGCACGTTAAACTTTTATGTAATGTTTATGGTTATACTATATGCCATAGTATTACAATCAATAACATTTCTTTCCTTGTGACATTACAAAAACAGTGTTTTCCAGTCGTGTCTGATAGTAATACTGTAATAACATATTTTCAGACGTGGATAAGCAGTTTTTGCTGTTCTCTGGATGAAATCAATGAATGTTTAGTCTCTAAAACAAATTAAAAGCCATACTGTTCTGAAACATTTAATAGGTAATGTATATTGCTGCATATATATATCGGATGTGGTCGGTAATATTTACTGTATAACATTACTAGCATAGAGGTTGTAACGCATTATATTACTGAATGAATGACAACTTTGACGTAAGCAAAACATCAACTTATTTTAATACTAAACGGGAAACCGCAACATATTGACTGATGAGCGCAATCTAAGTGTAATAATAACATGTCGCAATTATTTAAATGGACGTGATTTCAAAACAATGCGGCCTGCATCCTGTCAAAGCCTCGGCGTTTCCTGAAACCGTCCCCCACCGAGGACGCGCCTGCTGTGGGTGAGCTTTAAAACAACCACGCTGAGTCTCACTGACCTGCTGATATCTCCCGCTCGGCTCTGCCATCTTTAGCTTGAAAAGAAAACGAGGATCCCCGCACACACGATTCACGCACCAATCCGTCTAACGTAAAAGGAAATTGTATAAAGTGTCTTCAGCTCAGCCACAGCCTTCATCAGTATGGAAGGCCGTTAGGGCCAAAACGTCTGCAACAAACGTGTTAACGCGTAATTGCGTGTTAACACGTAATTTACGCGTTAACACGTCATTTACGCGTTAACACGTTGGTACGTGTTAACACGTCATTTACGTGTTAACACGCAATTTACGTGTTAACACGTCTTTTTTTAAACTAGTCTCATTTTAAAGTGCTATCATTTTTCATTCTTGAAACTGCTTATTTTAAAATGTATAATGTCATTTCACTAAAATCACAATAAATGTTTTGCAGTCAATGTTATGTAGCAGATATTTAGTATTATGAAAGGCCAAACATCTTCTGTAATGTTATGTTTGATGGCATAATAATGTATAATAATAATGTTTGTTATTCAGCTGCTGAGATTTCTTTAAAAAATGTGTCCAGAGAAATCAGAATGAGATTTATTTGACAAGTGTGTGCAAACAAAAGAAATGTTTTGTGTTTTTTTTTTCAGAAGCACATATACATACAGTACACACATACAAATGAACACAGGAAAAAAGAATGACATAAGTGGATAAAGTAAATAATACAACATTTTGGTTACAAATCATAAACAGTAAGGGTTGTGTATATTTATGACTATAAAAACAGGTAGCAACCAATCTAATAATAAAGATCGATAAAGATGTGTAGAGATCTGGATGTTGGGCAGGTGCACAGAATTAATCCTCTCCGCTGTCCTGACAATCCGCTGCAGTCTTATGTCTGATTTGGTGGCTGATCCAAACCAGACAGTAATTGAAGTTTTGTCAGATGAAGTGGCTGCAGATTCTACATTCTCATACCATATATAACATGTCATAAATTACTAGATTATATATATATATATATATATATATATATATATATATATATATATATATATATATATATATATATATTTGTTTGCAGAACTTTGCACTAGATATTTTTATATATTTTTTAGAGCTGGAAGCTCCAATCACCAAGACAAAACATTACTTTGTGCAAACGATGTAAGGTAAGCAAAGCCAAAATTATAATTTACTAAATCAAAAGTACAAGATAAAGTCAAAATAATGATTTAATAACTCAAATTTATGACTGAATAATTCTGTAAAAATTACATTACAACAACAGGCGGTAGAAAAAAAAAAACAATCTAAATGTGTAACAATTCTCTAAATATTTTGTATAATAAAACCTGATATAGTTAAAATGTTTTACATAATTGAACATTCATGTACATATTTGTAATTATAATGGACACACACACACACACACACACACACACACACACACACACACACACACACACACACACACACACACACACCTTCACCTTTGAACTTGTGGGGGAAACCAGAGCACCTGGAGGAAACCCAAGCCAACACAGGGAGCAGGAATGGGCAAAAATACATTGAACCACATTTTAAAATAAAATCCCAAATCCATCAATTTTACATGTATCAATATAAACTACAAAATACAGCAGCCACAAATGTATCAAAGTAAAATTCTATATATCTTTAATTTTAAAATACACAAAATACTTTTACAAGCGAGCAGGAAATTTCGTCACGAAATAGGCATATTTGGTCACCGTTCACCGTTACACTGACTACATTAAGTAAACAATGTTTGACAGCAACAGGGCTTGAGCAAGTTTAAATCAGCTTATCCGTCAACGCATTTACCTCTACATGAGGCATTTATAAACTCGTGTTTCTCTTTCATTTAAAAAATAAATAAATAATTGTACAAAATACATACAGAAAGTCCTGTCTTGAAAATGATCTCTTTAAAAAGAAAAAAAAACATGTATTGCAGATAATGAGTTAGACTAGATCACATCATTGTGTTTTCATCCATTGAGTGGCCAGTAAAATTGACATCATCACTTAACAGTCTTATATTTTAAAAGGGTTTTATATAAAGAGGTTATTGAAATTGTTTACTTTAAGTCTAGTTTTGTTTAAAAGGTGTAACAAAGAATTTGTAAAAATATATATACACAATATATTTGTGAAATAATATGGAATTAGAACTTAAATCTTAAAGTACACAAAATACTATATAGCAATGGAAACGCAATAATGGTACAATAAAGGTTATTTGGCTTTAAGGCTTGATCCAACTACAAAAACACTAGTGACCAATATCACAACCACAAGTGAACAATAAAATTATAAGAAATATAAAATTAATTAATTAATTACTGCTACTGCTGCTGCTGCTGCTGCTATTGCTATTCCTATTCCTATTCCTATTCCTATTCCTATTCCTATTCCTATTCCTATTCCTATTCCTATTCAGAGCTGGGGAGAAGTGTTCCTCAGCTCTCTAGCTTCAGAGGGCTGTATTTAAAGCCAAAACACTCTGATTCAGGCAGATTCATAATGATTAGCAGCTGGGAGCTAATTAACCTGAGAGCTGGTGAGAGACAGAGAGAAAAGCAGGGTGGAGCACAACACAATATGCAGGGCCTACACATAAAATAAGGTTTTGGCAGTAACTAATGCAAAACATAAAACATGACATCTGTAAAAACCTGACATCTGTAAAAATGGACTTATCTGTTTTTGTGAAGTCTGGAGTCTAGAGTTTTTGACCAGGCTGGAGTATTATTAAATATGTGTCTCATATACTGTATTGTGCCACTTTGCTATCTTTAGACTGACATCTTTCCTCTTCATTAACTATATAAGTGCACCTGCAGATCAAAATTCTGACATTTGAAAGAACCAATGAAGTATAGGTGTCACCACTGTAGGACTTATTTTTATGTGGTGTGTCTAATTGTCTTGGCATCTACATCAGCAATCCATCCATTTGTGCAGTTTACTCATTTTCTGAAGATTTTTTCAGTTCTTCTTTAACTTAAAGTCTTCGTTCACCCAATTGGTGAACTTCAGTACACTGTCTTTAGGTGTTTTTTTTCCCATTATATTATATTTTTTCATGGTATTGTGCAGTATACCATTTTCAATGATTGTTGCCTTGCTCTCAAATATACCCCTGTCATTTGTCTGTTATTTTCTTTATATGAGCATAATTTTCATCAATACTTCAAGCATTGATGACCTTCTTAATACATTTTCTGTTCTGATCTCAAGTCTGGGCAAACAACTGAGAAAACATCAATCAGAGGCTGCATTTTATGTCATTATGTAGACTTTCAAAGTATTTTACAGTATTTAAAAAATACAAAAGACACTAAAGTATTTTGATACAAAATATAAAACCATTTTCATAAAGCATGCAAACTTCACACAGAAACACCAACTGACCCAGCCGAGGTTCAAACCAGTAATCTTCCTGCTGTGAGGCGACAGTACTACCCACTGCGCCACCGTGTTGCCCATTTTTTCAAAATTAAAAAAAATAATATATATATATATATATATATATATATAATTTAAATATTAACTTGTATTTCATATACTTTGCAGATATTCACATTTTATCACATTTTATATGGCTTGATAGCAAATCATATTTACAGTTATTTGAATACAGCATGCACAAAGTATTTATATTTCCATTATTCTGTGTGATATATGTGTACTATAAGATGTGGCCATGTGTATTATTGGTGTTTTTAGGCCTCTAAATACTTTAATGTATCACCACACTGGAGTGAAAATCCCTTTAATAGCGTTCTAGTCATGCTGCTTGCTTTCATATAAGAACCAACTAAATGTGACACTGCATAATTAAAAAAAAAAAAAGAATGAAAGAAATATGTCTTTATAAGAGTTATCATTATCTGAAAATGAATATATATATATATATATATATATATATATATATATATATATATATATATAAAATGAAATGATATATTTATAAATTTATTTATATGATATTTATTTGTAATTATATACTGTTTTATATTATATAATTGATTTGGTAATACTTTACAATAACAGTACTTTAATAATGATGTATTAATATGCAAACTAAACATTAGTTTATTATAAATTCATAATTCATGATGGCGACGTGGTGGCGCAGTAGTGCTGTTGAATCACAGCAAGAAGGTCGCTGGTTTGAGCCTCGGCTGGGTCAGTTGGTGTTTCTGTGTGGAGTTCTGTGTGCATGTTCTCCCCGGGTTTGCTTGGGTTTCTTCCGGGTGCTTTGGTTTCCCCCACAGTCCAAACACATGCGATACAGTTAAATTAGGCTAAATTGTTCGTAGTGTATGAGTGTCAATGAGTGTGAATGGATGTTTCCCAGAGATGGATTGCAGCTGGAAGGGCATCTGCTGCATAGAACATATGCTAGATAAGTTGGCGGTCCATTCTACTGTGGCGAACACAGATTAATAAAGGGAGTTAGCCGAATAGAAAACTGAATGAATGATTTTATGATAAGCTAATGCATGCAGTATTCATGAACTAACGTAAACTACAACATGAGTTCATGTGTGAATAACAGCTACCTTAATTACTTGTTAGTACATGCTGTTGATTAATGTATTAATTCACATTTAAGTTTAAGCTAAAAGTAATTAATGTGAACTCATAAGTTGTTAATGTATAATTATGTCATGACTTGGAGGGGCACATTACTGTTAACTCATCCTTAACTACTCATGAATTCCTGTTCATGTTTATGCTGCCAGAACACTTTTCTATTGTTTTTCAGTGTAACATACTAGATGGACGTGCATAAGGAGTTCATGAGTAGTTAAGAATGGATTAATGATGATGTGACCCTCCAAGTAAAGTCACAATATAATTACACATTAAGATATCATGAGTTCATGATGGTTAAATTAGGCATAAACATGTACTAACAATTAAGGTAGCCGTTATTCACACATGAACTCATGTGACTCATGCTGTAGTTAAAGTTAATTCATGATTGGCATGCATTAACTCATCATTAGTTCATAATAAAGTAATGTTTAGTTAACATATTAATACATCATTATTCATGTAAAGTGTTACCCATGATGAACAAGACATTAAGCAGCAGCAAAACTCTGTTGCTTTGTATTTTGCTGCTTTC